TGGTGAGCAGAATTCTTGCTACTTAGTGGTTGAAGAACATCAAAGATTTCACTCTTCTTTGACTGATATGATTTGTAAATATTCATAACCACTCTTGGTCAAACATGTGTACAAAATAAGTCACTATTTCGTGTTTAAAATTGCAAACATAATAAAAAATACTTTATACAAACTTTATTTAGGCTCTATCAAAATCATATTGGAGTTTTCTTAATGCAAAAAAAATTAAGAAATAAAAGCTTTAAAACATGTTAATAAAGGTTTAAATCCTTGTATCTACCGTCCAATTGTTTTTCTTCATTAAACACGTAAACGGAAGAGCGTTTGAGAGGCCTTTTTGATAACATTGTTAGGAGATTTAAACTATTCAGCGGTTCTGCACTGCGGTCAACTCCGCCACCTCTCGAGTTTGTTTTTCCAAATCAGCTGTTCTTCATTATTCCTGCTATATTTGACGAGTGATACAAATATGTTTTACCACAAGTTCGTAAGAAAACTGACACTGTTGGTCTCGGTTCTAGTTTGACTTGACTTGACTCTAAAATGAAGTACTTTTGCTGTGTACTTTGTGAGTAATCCTCTTTCAGAGTCCCCTCCATAGCACATAATGCATGTTTTTCTGCTATCTCTGATGAATGATAAAAATATAATTTTACCATTAGTTCTTAATGAAATTGATACTGTTTGACTTTGTATTAGTTAGCCTACTACTTACAATACATTGAAGTGCTTTTATTGTGTATTTTTTGAGAAATACTCTGTCAAAGTTCCCTGCTGAGTACAAAATCAAGCCACTTCTGCTAAGTTTGATGAGGGAATTATTTGTTGTCATTAGTTCTTCGTGAGATTGATCCTGTTGGACTCAGTACTAGTGAAACTACCCCCACAAGTACTATGAAGTACTTACTGTGTACTTTTCCAGTACTCCTCTGTCAATGTCCCCTCCTGAGAACAAGAATGCATGTTTCTCTGCTATTTTGAATAAACGTTAAAAAAACCTTTCTTCATGAGACTGATATTGTTGGACAGAGTATTTTAAGAGGATGGTAGACTCGATATATCAGCAATACTTCCAGTCAGTACTCCGGAAGCAGCATTTTTACCCCTTGGAAAGTCTTTAGAGACTGGCCTGGATAGCTGGTCTATCCTTCAGCACAATGACACACCTCTGTCTCTCTGTTGGCCTCTTATGAAGCTGCTGTCTTTTAAAACATGATTATTTCTCTGCTCCTAGTTAATTCCTCGCAGATTCTTCCATCAGTCCAAGTCATTGCATGTCAGTCAGTAGAGCTTTGAAAAATGTGTCCAATTCAACAAAATATTTTTTTGTGAGTGAAGGCCAGAGCTAAATTATAGATTGTTTGATTGTGTAATTACAAGGTGAGAGAAAAATAAATCCGCATCCTCCTATGAAACGTATTTTATTTCCTTTTCCATGTTATACTTATACTTATTTGCATTAGAACATTTGCATGTTGAACTACATGATATCTTCCCCAGCCTCAAGGAAATACAATAAAATAAATGGATTCATAATTTAAAAAATTGATAAAAAATGTATAAATTAATAATGTTGTGTGCAAACATTTCAAATTTAAATATAAAATGAAACATAAGTTTACTTTTGAAATTATTTCTCACTAAAACCTTTCTAAATTATAGTAAACTATTACAAAAGTTTTGGTCAATATACGTTTTTCTGCCTAAAATAGTTGAAATTGAACGTAAACTATATCAAACACCACATGCATGGCAATTAACCCATTTTTGCCCGCTATTTAAATTGACTTTGGTTAGTTAATACAAATATTGATATTATATATATATATATATACATACATATATAATTGATGCAGTCTTTCTGAACACTTTTTTAAAAAAATACTGCAAATGAAGAATATTTTAAATGTTCTGCACAGATAGTGCCCTAACTTACAGCAGTTGAAAAGATTTGTGGGAGGATACATTCTTCATGGGCTTCAATGGCTCTCTAGTAAAGGGTGTTTTATGGTTGCTTGTATTATCCTCAGATAGTGGTTTGTTTAAATAACTACTGACATTTTAATAAATATTGCAAAAAAGGGCTCCAAAAAAGGCATAATATAACCTGGCCGGCTTAACCAGTGTGTAATTCTTCAAGCACCACAAGATTCAGAGTTTATAAAGTACAATTCTGGGCCATTGATTGTGTCATTTCTCCAAACACATACAGTAAAAATGCCTGTTTTGAAGCCTTCAAATGGTGCAGGAAAAGGACTTTACATTGTATTATACTTAAAGACAGGGCTATTCAGTTAAGAGAAGAGAAAAAGGAAAGCAAATTGTTATAATGGGTGATGTAACATTAATGACATACATAATATGAGGTCCTTGGCACTGTGTGATCATGGGGCATCACCCTCATATGGAGTCAGACACTGGAAGTGTGCTGATGCGTTGACTGGGACTGATGGAAGGATGAGGCTGATGAGAATGAAGAATCTGTGACGAACTAGCGGCTGAGAAATAATCATATATTAAAAGACAGCAGCATCATCAATAGGCCAACAAGAGTGACAGAGTGTGCCATTTTGCAGTCTACCATCCTCTTAAAATACTCTGTCCAACAATATCAGTCTCATGAAGAAAGGTTTTTTAACGCTTATTCAAAATAGCAGAGAAACATGCATTCTTGTTCTCAGGAGGGGACATTGACAGAGGATTGTTGGAAAAGTACACAGTAAGTACTTCATAGTACTTGTGGGGGTAGTTTCACTAGTACTGAGTCCAACAGGATCAATCTCACGAAGAACTAATGGCAACAAAAAAGAATTCCTTCATCAAACTTAGCAGAAGTGGCTTGATTTTGTTGTCAGCAGGGGACTTTGACAGAGGATTTTTTTTTTAAATACACAGTAAAAGTACTTCAACGTATTGTAAGGTAGGCTAATACAAAGTCAAACAGTATCAATTTCATTAAGAACTAATGGTAAAATTATATTTTTATCACTCATCAAAGATAGCAGAAAAACATGCATTATGTAGGCTACTATGGATGGGACTCTGACAGAGGATTACTCACAAAGTAGCTACACAGCAGAAGTACTTCATTTTATTTCTGGTAGAAGTCAAACTAGAACCGAGTCCAACAGTATCAGTTTCCTTAAGAACTTTTGGTAAAACATATTTGTATCACTCGTCAAATATAGCAGGAATAATGAAGAGCAGCTGATTTGAGAAAAAAAAACCGCGAGAGACGGCTGAGTTGACGCCCGGGAGGGAAGAGACACGCGGGGGGTCACGCAGTGCAGAATCGCTGTATAGTTTAAATCTCCTAACAATGTTGTCAAGTTTAGACAGAGGCTTATTATATTTACAGCCCTTAATAACATCAATTTTCTGGGCTCAATATGTGTCTTGGCCGTTTTCGTTGTGATCGCTAAATTCCCCTTTGTTCCCCTAGTGATTCAGTGTGATTTTAGCAAACGAGTGCTTTTGTTTTGAAATCACTTCCGTGAGTTTCGCCCCGCCCCTCGCTCCAATGACCATTTGATCATTTAGTAAGGTGAAAAGCAAAAAGCAAAAACGCCTCTCAGACGCTCTTCCGTTTACGTGTTTAATAAAGAAAAACAATTGGATGGTAGATACACGGATTATTATTGTACTATGTAAATACTGTATATCTTTACCCGTTTAGTCCTCAATAACAAAAAATAACTGTACATTTGGAGCAGTTTAATAGCACGCTGTGGTCGCAAATGTAATGTTAATCAGTAGGTTATATGTTTACTTTAAAAAGTGTCCAAACATTTACTGACGTTGTAAGATCCAGATGAAATGTCAGCGTGCGTTAACACATTTGGCCACTCCTAGAAACAGATGTCTCTGAATGTAGCCACATAATAAAACCGGTAAGAATGTGTTAACAAAATAAAAATAAAGTCAAAATCAACACAACAAATGTGACATATGTCTATCGTCTTTTTTAACATGAAAAACAATGAATTTGTTTTTTAGACGCTGACTTACCTGGCAATAACTCCTTGTGTATTTCTCTCAGTGAAACAGGTACTACTGCCCCCTCCTTTGTTCGTCAACACTCTCACACTGATCTCAGGTCAGAAATCAATGAGCTCCTGGCTAACCCGGGTTAATTAGCGGGGAAAAAACTGATCCCAGATCACCGCGTGGAAACTCACCTGGCCAGTCTGACCAGCCTCACGGTGCGTTCACTGTCCCCTCTAAAATCCGTCTACCCACTTTCGAATATGTACATAGGCCTAGCCTATGGTAGCCTACATAGGCTACACATTAACCGACATTCATAATTCCAACACACAATCATTTCTGAAACTAACCTTAACTTAAATTGGTATATTTTTTAATTAGGTTTAGCTATCTGACCGAGAAGCTATGGTTCTAATCTTATCACTGTAAGATAGTTAAAATATACATTTTTAACATTTGGTCTGATATAGGCTACTTATTTTTAGTTATCTTTGAGAGTTCACTTTTATATGTTGGATGTTAGTTTAACTTTTCTTCGTTTGATTTCAGATCTATGTTGTTTTATTCTTTTTTTGTATTATATTGATAGACGCTTTTATCCATAGTCCTTACCAAAGTTCCTCTTTTGACAAAAACTACAAATATTGTTTTAAAACGTTTCTTCTGAACGGCTTTGCTGTGGGGAAAGCGTGTCTATTTTATTCCTTTTGACTTAATTACTGCTAAATGAATACAGGATGATCAAATATATATTTGTCATATTAGATACACACACACACACACACACACACACACACACACACACGCATTCTTGTTTGACCAATCATATGTCTGCACAAACTTCCGTATTTAGGACTTGTCAAGCTGTGATTGGTTGAAATCAGCAGTATCGTTTAAAAGTGCCCGATTGTGAATGGGCCGTTCATCTTTTGTGAGTCTCTCGCCGATACGAGACACATCTCCACACAGAGATGGAGATACTTCACGTTTTACAAGTTTTCGTCCGATCACTGATGTTTCTGCTGCTGTGGTCAAAGTGTGAAGGAAGGGAGTCGGAGCTGAACACCGTGACCTGCGGCTCTCTGCTCAAACTGCTCAACACCAGACACAACGTCCGTCTGCATTCCCACGATGTCAAATATGGCTCAGGTAACTTCACGCGGATATCACATGTAATTAAGACTTATTTCACATGTAATTAAGACTTATTTCATTGCGATGAGCATAGGACGCAGTGTGTTTCTCTCTCCAGCTGCAGCACATGCAGTTCGTAGAGATGCTTCACCAATCAGCTCAGCTGCCTTGCTCATGTACAAACACCCCCCAAAACTGCAACATATAGCAAATACCACAGTACAGCAACTCTTCGGTTGTGACTGTGTTGGACTGGGTGTGTGTGGAGCATTGTGCAGCCTCCCTCTGTGTGTGCCCTGCAGGCACCTGTCTCTGCCCCGTGGAACCACCTCTCATACTATAGCTGGACACATCAAAGTGCCTCCTTTGGAGCTCCTATTAGTGTCAGTTGAAAGGTTTTATTCAGTTATTAAAACAAATTACATGTTTTAGAAATGTTATAATATATATAGTGTGTGTGTATATATATATATGTATACATATATATATGTGTGTATACATATGTGTGTATATGTATGTATATATGTGTATATAGTATATATTTGTGTATATATATATATATATATATATAGTATGTATGTGTATATATATTTATATATAGTATATATATGTATGTGTATATATAGTATGTATATATGTGTATATATATATTTATATATAGTATATATATGTATGTGTATATATATGTATATATATAGTGTATATATATAGTATATGTGTGTATATATACATATATATGTATGTATGTATGTATGTATGTGTATATATATATATATATATATGTATGTATATATAT